AATCTGTTTAAAGAAATCTGTCTGTTTAAAATCTATGTTTACGTTACGCAGCTGTCGCCCCCATGCGAACGACAACTCTCAGAAATTGAGAAACTTGTGCGAGCTAAGGACTAACGAGGTCTTACCTTTTAACGTGTGATTCCTAACACGGTTGCAGAATCATTCCAGCTTCATCCAGCTAAATTATCTCGAGAAAAATATCTTGTCGAGGCGGGAATCGAACCCACGGCCTTCCGATCGTGAGTCGGGCGCACTACCACCGTGGCCAATTCCAATGCTATGTTTGATTCAAATCTTTACTTTATATTTCTAATTATGTTCATTTACCGGGCAAGGGTCACAAAAAATATACAAAACGTAATACACGCTGACGTAATTTGAGAAGCCATATACTTCGCTTCCCAATTGCCAACTTCGAAAGTCAATTGCATTACATGTAGCGCCCTGACGTTTTTGAGACACCCTGTGTACGTCTCTCATTAGGATCGCACGTCAAAATGAAAGGACTACTACACATATGATACAAGTGAGTATCATTCCAGCATTCCCTTTGGAGATTGTGCTGTCAGATGTAATTCAATCTCTGTATGGGTAAAATTGTTTTGAGCGAATGCCCTTTTTGATGAACGTTGCACAAATAAATGTCGGATGTATTTAATTCAATATCTGTATGGGTGAATAGTTTTTTTGTGAGGGCTACGCCATCCTACACTCCGAAAACAAACTTTTGAACAATCCCTGTATTACGTTGATCATTTTCCCTTCTCCAAATCGAGAAAGCTTTGTTTGATGGTTTCGCACTTTGCAATATGAGAGCTACGCCTCCCCCTCTTCGAAAACAAAATTTTGATACACCCCTGTATACTGTATTGAATTGCCGTCATGTTTTTGCTTCTAATGCTTCTAATGATGTATTTTGAATCTCTATATCCCCAATGATACGTTTTTTATCTGCCTCATGCAACCATGTTTTTCTCTTAAATGACCTGGTATACTACATTTGACGAGCAACTGCCATGTTTTTTTTGAAAAGCAGTCGCCATGTTTTTTCTATGATTTTTCATTCATCATCATTATTATCTCACTTCCACCATCTACAATCATTATTCTTTTTATAATTCAGCCGCGCTCTCGACTACGTCACGATGAACGCCAAGAGGCACCACTCTGATTGTTACCCCTCCCCCCAAAATGAGCAAAATTGACAAGAACGAACCTTATAATTCCTTATGGAGATTAACATGTAACGCCACCTTGATGTATTGGAGGCGGCAATAGCTTTGATCCAGGAGCTGGTTTCAGTAGCCTAACTGGTCAAATTTTCAGCTTACCAAGCAACCAGCAACCTAGGACGGCTGTCTACGTTCCTAGGAAATACAGAGCGTTTCCGATGGCACAATTCAGCACCTCAGACCTCACTGCGGTTAAAGTTGAATGTCCAGTTGGAAAAGGCAAATATATGGCGTTGATTATCGCATCTGTGTACCTCCCTTCAGATGCAGCCAACCTACCACCGACCAGAGAAATGGAGGTACTAGTGAATCACTGCCTCAACCAGAGAGTGGAGTTTATATTACAGATGCATAGAGACAGTACCTACATTGACGATAGTCACTCTATAAAGCTGAAGTCAGACGCATTATAGTAAGCATTCCTTGAGAGATGTTTTTTCAGTTTCCGTTTGAAATTAGCGAGGGTTGCATTTTTCATTGATTGGAGCAGTGAGTTGTACAATGATATGTATGAGTTACATCTCCTTGTTATTTCCAGTCTTTAGTTTGGTGCTCTAATATTATCCTTGTTCCTAGTATTAAACGAATGGTTGTTACCGTTTGTAGTAAACTTTTGTAAATTTACTTGAATGTTTTCAAATTGCAGTATATTACACATGATGGCAGAGTTAATATATTGAACTTAATGAACCAATTCTTACAGCTCTCCATTTGACCTATTCCAGCTAAAGCTCTGATCGCTCTTTTTTGAATTTTGAATATTCTCGAGATATGAACAGATGTGCCCCAGTTTATCAATCCATAAATTAATGAACTATGAAACATTGCATGATAAGCTGTATAGGCAGCTTCATTACCGACTTTATTTTTTATCTGCCTGATTGCATAGACCTTGCATGATAGATTTTTTGCTAGTTTGTCAATATGGGGTTTCCAAGTTAACTTTGAATCAATGGTTGTACCAAGACATTTCACATTATTTGAGAGATTATGGGACAGCGAAACATAATTGTTTGTGTCTTGCTTTTATTCACACATAGGCTATTCGCATTAAACCATTCCGTAGCTTCTTGAATAACTCGCTTTTCTAATTCTGATGACTCTTCAATATTTTTTTTCCGAATGGCGAAGGAAGTGTCATCCGCAAATAACATTGTAAACATTGCCAGTGAATTTGGCAGGTCATTGATATAAATCAAGAAAAGTAGTGGCCCAAGCACACTACCTTGTGGAACACCATTCAATATCGTTTGTAAGCTACTGAGCTCTTCATTATATGATACACATTGCTTTCTCTCATTTAGATATGATGCANTAATTTTATTATTAATAACATATGAGGCTATGTATGAAGAGCTATGTATGAAGTTTGTTTAATATCGATTGCAAAATTTGTATCGAACATACAAACATTATTATCATGTTTTCATTAATAACATATTAGGTAATGATCATATTACATTGTCAAACGGTTCTATATGAAACTTCTTCAAAATCGATCGAAAAATTTGTACCGAAGAGAAAAACCATTATTATTACATTTATAACATATTCTTAAAACTCCAGAAATATTTTCTATTCACTCAAAATTATTTTTCCAGCTACTCATTTTCGATTAAGAAATTGGAATTTTCCAATTTAAACTGCGAAATTAATTTTTTGAAAAAAAAATTATGCCAAATACCTACCTGAAAACAAAACTCAAATTCATATCACTTTTCATCTCATTCAATTTTAATTACCACTCGCTCGGCTCCTAATACAAGCCAGAAAAGGTTATAACAACGCCTACATTGTATGGTTCGACAGACAGCTAAAATGTGACGTGACAGAAAACTTCACCTGAATCTACCATTTTCAAGCTAAATTCATTAGTTCCTTAAAATAATAGCATTTGTTTAAGATGGCGCCTCAGTACGGGCTATTTTCATGACAAAAATTTTAAGAACGAATGTCAAAGTACTAGATGGCGCGCGAAATTGCTTCAAACGAGTTTATCACAGCCGCTGTCTTACTATCCTTTTATCTTTATACTAAGCTCATAAATGAAATTCAACTGTGAAAATGCTGCTCAATTTCGAAAAAAACGTGATCTGCGAAAATTGAACAAGTTGCTCAGAAAAAAATATTTTCACAAAACAATATAATTGTCTGAAATAAGTATTTGTGCACACCTCGTTGCAGGAAAATATATGTACAAAAAGTAATAATAATGAGGAGCAAAGTATACGATATATAAATGCTGCATGTAGAATATTCGTTTAGACAGAGCATTACAACAAATGGCAATTAGTATTTTGGATTTTCTGTAATGAAATTCAAGTCCCTATTCTATCTTTCTCTCCATTGTGCATAAATTACAAAAATCATTCATTTATATGAAGCTTTCTATTATTTCTTAGCTATAAGTTATACCTTTACTATAAATAAAGTCACTTACCACTGAAGCTCAGAAGGTAATTCCAATAGAATGAAGTTTTATGGAACTGATCTATCTGCACCAAATATTGACCATCAATATCCTTTCTTAGAGTTCTCTTACCTCCTGATTTGTCAGCAATGAGAGATTCCAACATAGTCCGGACCATGTATAACTGTGTTGAAGAAGGACCTGGAAATCAGATCGATAGATCAGTTTAATATCTCATTATAATGGATTTAGCATCGTCAAATAATAGAACTTGAAAATACAAATACACTGAATATACAATACAGTAGCTGACATTTCAAAATTTCAAACTGAAGAGTTTGACAGTGTTTTATGGGCACAGATCAACCATTAGCCCTTTTATATGTGGTGGTAGGTGGTTATAGAGTCTTACCTCCACGGAAATGAAGCATTTATGAGTGACTGCCAGGCGATGACGTGGCATAAGGAGGCTGTTGCATCTTCTAGTTATATATTCATGGTTGTAATTTTACTGGTGTGATTTTTTTTTTTATTTTGATGTATATAAGATATTTGTAGGGGGTCTACACTGTCAGTCCGTTAGTTACCTTTTGACTTGAATATCCCCATGTATGCTGCTCTAGAGACATAAATAGCAAAAAGGATAGCTAAGAAGAAAAATATGTGATATGGTCATATAACTGGTGGACTAGCCCTTATACAGAGAAGATTGAGGACACCATTATAGGTAGAGGATGGAACACTTCAAAGTCAGTTGTTAATGGTTTAATATCATGTATAATGTTTAAATTGAAAACTATATTAGTAATTTTTGGGAAAGAAAGTTTTTGGCTTTCTAACAAAAAAATTCTTTCGAAACAAATACTTCTATATGAACACTGAATTATACAGAAGATACTTTTCTCTACTCAGATCGTATTTCAAACATTCGTTGTGGAATGAAAATCAGATATCATTCACACGAGTTCTACTTTGGATGAATGGTAATAAATTGCACTTACATGGAACACTGTCATCATCACTGGTATACACCGATGTTTCGCCTTAAGACACTTGCCCTAAGGCTTTTTCTTTCGTGCAATTCAATGTTTATATGAAAGTAGCTGTTTCAGGAGGACTTTCTTTCAGTTTGTAATTCAATGTTTATATGAAAGTAGCTGTTTCAGGAGGACTTTCTTTCAGTTTGTGTCTGAAAGTTACTTCTTTGCATGATCTACACATCCATGTATAGAGTTACTTATTTTCAAATTGATTACTTCCTTCCTTTATTCATCCAAAGTAGAACTCATGTGAATGATATCTGATTTTCATTCCAGAACGAATGTTTGAAATACGAACTGAGTAGAGAAAAGTATCTTCTGTATGATTCAGTGTTCATATAGAAGTATTTGTTTCGAAATAATTTTATTATTTCATGTAATTCAATGTTTATATGAAAGTAGCTGTTTCAGGAGGACTTTCTTTCAGTTTGTATCTGAAAGTCACTTCTTTGCATGATCTACACATCCATGTAGAGAGTTACTTATTTTCAAATTGATTACTTCCTTCCTTTTTTGGGAAGATTCCCTCATCCCCCTTTTTTTGTATCAAGATGGAGTAGTAGAAAGCCAAAAACTTCCTTTCCCATCACTCCTAAAAATATAACCCCTTCAATTCATATATTAGTAACTTATTCAGAAACCAATTGTCGAACTTTCTGATATAAATTACAGAGGCATTTTCAAATTAAGAATATTTTTATTTATTGTATTTAAAAACTATACATATTGTATAGGATTTTTCAGATTTCCAATCCAAGATAATGAGTTAAATACTTATTTTATTCACAATTGTAACTACGTTTATGACAAATACTGTGTATGTCATTCGTTTATTTCCATTTATTGCTTCAGCTTACCAACATTTCGTCTAGGAACTTTTATACTGAACCCACTGTCAGGATCTTTTTTACCCTTCAATACAGGATCCTGTACCGGATCAAACTGCCTTGGCCAATCTGCACAGGTTTCTCTGACTGACATTATAATACTGAAAAAAACAGAAGACGATTATAAAACAGGCCATAAAATCATATTGGTATCTAGGCAATGATAAGTACCTTCGAATTAGACCCTTTTTGTTTTTTATAGCTTTTCTCAGCGGTTCCCTCAGCATCACTTGCACAAAATACTGAAGCTCAGCATAAATATTTCGTCTTATGGCATCAGTGAAGACGGTTTCCATTCTTGCCATCAGAACCTGCAAACCCTTTATCATCGCTATAACTTCGATAAGAGCAAATTTTTCTTCTTCCGTATAATTGTATCTTGTTGCCTATAAATATGATAAATCCTGTATAAATGAATAAGCCTTTATTTAAATAGCCTTCCTGATTTACATAAAGTTTATTTAGTAATAATTATAGACACAATATATGTTTATCTCATATGTAATTTAAATGAACACTAAATAATCATAAAAATACATTCTATGATGATTTCAATAAATGATTTACTTTCTGGAAGGATAGTTTATTCCAAAAAACCTATATGAAATAAGGAATTCATTAATTGAATTGAACTGGCCGATACTTGATGAAAATTCATATTAAAACTCATTGAAACAGTTTATAGTGAAAATCATACAATAAACTGTCTTAATAAGGAATTCATTGTTAGGGAATGAGTAGTATGAGATATACTTAATTTGAAATTATTTCTTTTGGGATAATTCTGTTAGAAAATAAAACATTGGTTATTTACAAACATGTTGAAGTTAATACTCTCCATACTCCAATATTCCAAGTTATGTCTGTCGCATTTACAGATTGGTGCCGCAAAAACTACTTGGTTGTAAACCCCAGTAAGACAGTTTTAATGCAGTTCTACTCTAGAACTGTCAGGAAAATTACCGATTTTCGAGTCAGAGTAAGTAGTCGTGATGTGATTTCGTCAGGCAATACTAAATTCCTTGGTACCTATGTTGATAGTAACATGACTTGGGAGTCAGCTATGAGTCAGGTCAGAATGAAAGTGAACTGTGGTTATTATGTTATACGGCAACTTTCATCCACACTCAGTACTGATCAGCTTTTGAATGTTTATTATGCCGTAATTTATTCTCACATCTCATGCAATATCGCTGTATGGGGTTGCTACACATCTATAAATAACATTTTTGTTGGCCAAAAGAGAGTATTGCGTTTGATTTACAAATTAGATGCTACGGAATCTTGAAGACCGCATTTTATCAAAAATAAAATTTTACCTGTACCCTGCATATATACAAAATTATTCTGAATTTTAGAAAACATTTACACAATCATCTCCGCAATTCAGNTTGTGGTAGACCTGTTTATCCAAGTATTTTTCTGGTTGAATTTCTCTTGATTTATGAACATTCTCTTCAAACATTGGTGAGTGTATAATAGTTTAACATTTAATATATTTGCTTTCTCATATAGCTTATCGGTGGAAAAACCTTTATTTTTTCAGTATGATTTTTAATAGTGTGTTTTGTGTTGTTTGTATAATGTTCAGTATGTATATTGTGATGCAGTAAGACAGAATTGATTCGGCTAGGGAGTTGTAGAGCATTATGAGGTTTTTTCTGGAAAGGATGTCTCTTAGAGAAGGAAAACTGTGTATAAGTGTTCTAAGGCGTTTGTTTACATGCATGATATGATCAGACCATCGTATGTGTTGGTCTTGGACTACCCCTAAATATTTAATCGATGACACTTTTTATAATAGTAGAACACTCACATACGTTTTTGTGACAGTTTATAGAGTGTAGTTTCAGAGACAAATTATGTGGTTGACTAATGACCGTTGGTGTAAAGGCAATAAGTTTAGTCTTATCAATATTTAGAGTAAGCTTATTTAAATGCAACCATCCAAATATATTTCGAAAATTTGTTTCGATGGCGTGTTTAACATCCTCCCAATTCTTTTCCGCGCAGACCGAAGCCCTGTCGTCAGCATAACAAATAAGGTGTCATAGACCATCCATTTTTTTGCTATACTGTTCATGTATACAAGAAACCAAAACCACCATCATTTTGCTTAAACATTTCAGGAACATTTTTAACCCTATAGACAGTTTTGGAAGTTGACTGTTGTAAAGCCGTTGAAAATCGACGAAAATCAATAGTTTCATGAGTATTACTTATTTCAGGAACTAGAACAACTGTTCTGATTTTTAGTTCTGAAAGAAATTTCTTGTAAATAGCGATAACAGACTTCAAAATAACATGTTATATAACCATTTTGACATGAATGTATTCATTATTGTGAAGACTTTAGCAGACCAGATATGGGATTGTGGAATGGATGTTGTAACCTCCAAAATGCTCTGTATGAGCAGATTTTATATTGCAATTTTATCAGGAATGCGACTTTTTTGGTCTGTTTTATTAGGAATTTAAGCAATTTGCATTGAAACATTTTTACGTGCAAAATATTTCGCCGTTTTGAAAAAAAATTAATGTTTCGAAATGAGTATTTTCAAAATGATAGTAATTTTAAATTTAGCTATTGGTATAAATATTCACAATTCATCTTATTTTTGAATGAAAAAATGTTTTTTACCCTTTCATATTCTTCAGCTTCTTTAGGACATTCCTTATTCTGATGATGATCTGTTGGGTGCAGCAGCTTCCAAGAATAAAGTTCCGTAACTACACTGGTCCATTCTGAGAGTAGCTGAAGGCCTCTTAGAGCTAGTTCCGCTGTTTCTTTGTTTTCACCATCGCTTCCACACTCTTTGTAAGTGGTAGTTACTTCGTTGCTATATCGCGATAATTCGCTTATATACTTAACATGATCTTCCCTGATTTGAGGCAAATGAACCATCAAATCTGCTTGAGGAGATGGGGTATTGCTACTAGATAAAGGCCACTTATTAGCATCGAAGTGCTTGCTCCTCTTTATATAATTGAATGGAGCTATTTGCATGTCTCCAAACAGAGGAACAACTTCTAAATTCTATAAATAATAGTCATGAAAAACAATAGTATCAAAAATTTTCAATGTGACACAGACCATATAACTGGTGGACTAGCCCTTATACAGAGGAGATTGAGGACAGCATTGTAGGTAGAGGATGGAACACTTAATGGTTTAATATCATGTTTAATATGTCAAGTACATTATCTCCAGATAATGTATTTGACATAGATATCACCATTAAAAGGCATTAAAAACTCATTTTAGTGAATTTCTGTCATCATAATTTATGTTGAGATCTCCAGCTATAATAAGCTGATAATTGACTGTAAGGTTTGACAAAAGAATCTCCAATCTATATAAAAAAAAGCTGTGACATTACACATTGGTGGTCTATAAATACAAATAAAAAAGATATGATTTTTAGTATCATGTAATAACGAGAATTTAAATATCTTTTCAACTATGAGATGATCAAATTCATCAATATTGTTTAGCGTCAGATCTTTGAGAGCATTTTTATTAACTAGAATCATTGTTCCCCCTTCAGAGACTGAGTCCTACAATACTTTGAAGCTGTTACATAATTCGGGCATTCAAAGGATTCTTCAGATCCTACCCAATGTTAGGAAAACAAAATTTGGAAAATTATGTTGTTGAAGAAAAATATAAACTTCATTACCCTTATTATGGTACAGATTGGATGTTCAACAGCAATAATGACACTCTTTTGTCAACATTACAATTTTTTGTTATTCCAGGCTTTTTTGATTTGTCAAGTCCTCTGGTGGTAAGGTTGTATTCGGTGTATCCTTCACTAAAAAAAGAGAACGTCGCTTCTTGCGTTCCCAAAAGTCTTTTGGAATTATCCTTGTTGTCCTGAAGCATATCTGTTTTTTCAGGTTTTCCCGGTTATTTCTTCTATACCTTAATTCATTAATTATCTTCATTATTTCTCTACTCAAATAGCGAGCTACTACTGCCTTCAGCCCGAATCCATCTCTTGGGTAGTTTGAATGTCTTATAAAGATATTACATTCCAAAAAGTGGATATTGTCCAACAGAAGTGTAATTTTTTGTGGAAGCAGAATATTCTCTGATTTGTGCTAGATGATGTATCATTCACCTTCCATAATATCCTGACACGAGTAAAATCCTATTTTTTGAAGTTTTAGCTTGTAAGGATGGTCTTGCTTCAAACTGGCATAATCACATTTTAATTTCTTTAGTTCTTCTGAATAGACTTCTTTCTCCTGTATCATTGTTTCAAAAGATGTCATCATGTTTTTATTGATAGCGCTGAGGTCTGCTAAATTATTTTGATATCTGTTCAAGTCAACTTTTATTACTTCTAATTCTTCCTGTAAGACAGCATTTTTTTGAACGAGATTAGTAATGTCATTTTTTTGTTCCGAGATGATTCTTTTTTGTTAGTTAAGTTTGCTAATGTAATTTTGTTCAGCGCCAGTAACTTCATCTTCAAGGCCATTGATGTTCTCCTTAGTTTCTGAATAAATACATCTCTTTCTCTATTGCCCTTCTTTAGTTACGCTATTTCATCCAATAGTTCCGTCACTAGGTCGTCTCGTTGACTATCTGTTAATTCTAACTGTGATTCCTTTTCTTTTAATGTTTTTATCAGCAATTCAACTTTTTCCCCTGCTATTCGTAGAGCCTCGTCATCACTTTTTTTTGGTTGCACAATCTCAAGAGCAGATTATTTTGTGGCCTTCTACTATCTGCATATATCTTTTTCTCTCCATACAGCTCTGGTGGAAAATGCCTAGACATTGTATACAACATACATTTGTACATTCTTCTTGCAGCATTTGAATGATGAATCCATTTCTCTTTGTGATTGTTGAAATGTCCTATATTTCCTGGACTTTATGTAGAAGTGGATTTTTTCTTTTATTTTTTGCAGAGGACTTCCATGCGGTGGATGCACTTTATAAAGATTAATCCAATAACTATCACATCAACTGGTGAATTAATAGAAAATTTAACAATTTTCACTCCATGTAGCAATTACTGTTCGTACGCCTCTGGTAGGGTATTATTTATCCACTTGGCTTGCCAGATGTGGCTAATTTCAACCACTTTATGGATTTAGTCGCAACTGAATCGATGGAAGATATTATTAAATTATCACTAACTCAGGCCTAAAAACTGATTTTCATCTTCACAAGGTTATTCGCGGTACTTTCATTGTTGTTTTGATGTGAAATTAAAAATACCAAAGCCAATATACCACTATGGTGGTGTATTGGCTTTGTTATTGAATATGATGGTTTTCCATGATGCCGAGAGGTGATTCATCTCCCTTGTTTATACTTCCGATCTTCTCAATTTCGATTACCTCCTTTATAATCCTCGTTTTCTGGTACTGTTTACTTGCGATCTGTTTGCAGCTTTTGAAGTCGATGTTGTGAACTATATCAAGGTGATGTTTGTATACGGCTGAGGTTGTTTCAAGGAAATTCTGATGGTTCTCATAGGTATATTATGTTGTTTTATGTTATGTTGTTTTAGAACTCCATTTATTTCATCTGTAACTCCTCTGACATACGGCAGGATGGCTCTAGTTTCTTTTGTGTTTGTTTTCTCATTGTTTTCTTTCTTTCTTCGGTGTGTTGCTTTGTGAATTGTATGATTTTCATATTCATTCTGCTGAAGAGATTTTAATATAACTTTCATTTCTTGTTCTTTCGTGTCTTCGCCTGTAAGGCGTCTATGATCTCTATGAATGAGGTAATCTTTGTGAATCATCTCATTTGTTGAGGCAGATGAGACGATTTTCAATTTCAACGGCTACCCGATCTATTCTGGTCTGGAGAGTTTTTTTTTTTGGTAGCGATTTGGGGTTTCCGAAGCCGGTTTCACGATGGTGTTTGAAGAGGGATCTGATTTACGGACAGCAAGCTCATATTCATAGGTTCTGTTGGAGACTCTTCTGTTGGTCTGGCTGATGTAAGTTCTGGAGCAGGTGCAACATGGTATTTCGTATATGCCCTGTGCCTCATTGGGTATTGTGTCCTTAGGTGTTTGTAGAAAAGCTGAAATTTGATTGTTGGCTGTGAATACTATTCTTATGTCGTGCCTCTTCAGAATCTGGCTTACTTTGTCAGTAACTCCATTAATTAAGTAAGAAAAACTTTTGGGTGGTCCGTCTGTTCATCGAGCTATTTGGGATGTTGGGTATGGATTTGCTGAAGTTGGATGAATCTTTCGATTTGGGATTCGGAATAGTCGTTTTGGCGAAGGGCCTATTTGAGATGATTCACAAAGACTACCTCATTCATGAAGAGCATTACTTCTCTCAGCAATATTTCATTTGAAAGTTGAATACAACAAAGTAAACTTCATTCCTTAATAAAGTCTTGATTAAAATGAAACAAAAACGTGTGAAAGGAGAAAAAGTTCGAATTTGAAAAGTGGCTTATCTTCACATATTCTTAGATAAACACCAGGTCAGGTTTCGGTAACTTTATCAATGAACTGTGCAAAGTGAACCAATGCTTTGAATGACTCCACAGTAGGGTGTGATGGCTGCTCAAGTAAGGTACAAAGTGACTGTAGTGGATTTAATGCATTCGAGTTGAAAGGCCAAAGATTATTGAAATACTACTGTCAGGATTGCATAAGGGGAATTAAGCTAATACCAACATTATTACAAAAAACTAATATGATGCAATCAGAGATAGACACTTTTAAAAGTCCAGATGAGTGCTCGTGAATCAGTATTAGGTGAAGAGTTTATTATTACTGAGGTGAAGGAACGACAAAGAAGACAAAGTAATGTCATGATCCATAACTTACCTGAAACTTAGAAATCAGACTTTGAGTAAGTGAAAGATATTGCCAATGAAAAAATCAATCAGATTCAGGATAGAAATCTCAAAGTTCGAGTTAGAGTTCTCGAGTGGAAAAAGCCAACAAAAATGGTGTTCGGGCACTGAAGGCAGTTTTTTCAAGTTATGATGAGGCTTTCAGGGTTCTGAAGAACAAACGCAATATTGATAAAAGTGGAAAAATATTTATGGACGATGACCTAACTTCTCGACAATTGCAATATGGTTGGTGTTGAATTTGTATATAAGTGAAATACTATACATGTTTTTGTAATCTATATACACCAGTCGCTAAAGTGATGCAATTTTTAAACCTACTTGAGACAATTGAGTCATTAGAATATTTCTGTGGAAGTAACTCATTAATTCTTGCTGACTTCGATCAGCCTAATATCATTACCAGAGACTCTAGAATTTGCAAATAACGTAGTGCTATGCAATATAAATCCATTCATGAGTTTTTTTGATATCACACAGTATGACACGATCTTCAACGATTCTGGTCATTTACTGGACTTGATATTCTTCAATATAACTGTTGAGTTGAAAGAGATACTCCACCATTTGTTCCAGAGGACAAACACCACCCTTCCCTGAAGTTCTTAATTGACCTTAATGAAGTGTAACGCTGATATCTCATACAACACAGAAGAAAGCTAATTTTTCTGCGCTATACTGAGATTTAGTAAATAATGATTGGAATTTTCTTCAAAGTTCTTTAGATGTAATCGCAGCTTCAGATGGTTTTCACTCTGTGTTGTACGAGATGTTTAATCAGCATATTCCACGCCAACCCAACTTTCTAAGGAAATATATTCCACGGTACAACAATAATATCATTCGAAGAATAAAATAAACTGAAAGAATCCAATTTAGATATTTATAGAGTTGAATTTTCCTCCCTATAAACAGATTGAAACAGACATAAAAATTGCATACAAGCAATATATACAGGATTCTGAAAAATCAATCATCACAGATCCTTCGAAGTTCTGGTCTCTTATAGAGAAGAAAAGAGTCCACTCTCGGATTCCCCGAATTCTTCACTTCAATAATGTAGAATACAAGGATCCAAGAGATATTGTTAATGGCTTTGCAACATTCTTTAGCAGCATCTACACAGCCGCGAATACACAATGCGATATTAATGAAACAGTAACTTCCAACAGACCTGTAATTAGTATCAATTCTGTGAATGAGAGTGAAGTTTTAAT